ATATTTACAACATTATTAATTATATTCCTCTAAAATTTCATTCTGAATAAATAGTAAGCATGCTTACATGTTATTTTCAGTCATTTTTAATTTAAATAAATGTCATACACGCATCTAGTAGATGCATTGCGCCCAATTTCATAACTTTTGCATTGCGCCCAACGGAGGGTTAAGTGTCACTTAGTGTGTTCCCTGTGTCCTGTGTTTGCCGTAGATCAGTGTTTAGCTCCGGAGGCCTGATCAGGACCATGCTCAAATTGTTTGCAAGAATCCTGTGCATCATATCAAGAGGCATGGAATGTCTGGTTGTCTTCTCATAATGTTGAGATCCATAGTTGGTATAGAAGCTAGGCATTTTTTGTTATCTAATTTCACAAGTAATGTTTCTTTATCCAGAAAATTAAACAATCAATAATAGGCTTCCAAGATCCTGGACTTTTTATGCCTTTAGAAGTAGTTGAAGAAATCACAAGGGAAAGTTGTGGGGGAGGTTGGAATCCTGCCCCACCCCCGCCCTATTCCTGATAGAAGTAACCACCTCTCAGGATGCTCTGGATGGAAACAGGTGAGTGCACTCTGCACCTTGAACCAGAGTGCCACTGGGTGTAAACCATTTGGTGGTTCCTGCCACAGTCCCCCATCTAGTCATCCAGACTACCTCTCAGTTATCTTGTCCCTCCCACGTGTTATCTCTGAGCTTACTACACCCAATGCCCCTCTTACCTCTTCTGTTATGAGAGGAAGACTTATTCAACCCAGTACTGTGTGTCTTCAGCCTTTCAGGGATTTGTTATAATTTCTAGTCCATCAGAAGCATTCTTGATTGTTTTCATATGAAATGAAACTGTCAGATTGAACCATATGAAATTGCCCATTTTGTAAATTAGAAATAGTCAAAGACCAGCAATTTCATGTGGTTCAACCTAATAAATAACAGAGGTAGACTAAAATCATTACATGCCCTCCCCTGTCATTTTTCCTATCATTTTTTAGCACCTGACACTACATACGTATTAAGTGTCTTCCCCTCTAGAATGTAAACCATGTGAAGGCGAAGACCCTATCTGTCCTGTTTCCCACTTTATCCCTACCACCCACAACACTGCCTGGCCCAGAGTAGCTCAGGCAATAATTTTTGAGTGACTGAATGAGTGTGATTGTTCTAAGGGAGAGGGAGGCTGGAGGTTATGTTTAGGGGACACCTTAACCAAAATCTCTATGGCTGTCAAAGTCCATGTGTTTAGAGGTAATAACTTAAGAAAATGGTTGTAATATGGTTGTTCAATAAAGCAGGGTACAAAACTCTATATTCACAATGATCTGGATTTATAAACTATCATAGATGATACCAGAAAGAAAAGACTGACTTGGGTACTAAGCCTGGGGCTAATTTGTTACTGAAGTGTGTAACTGTATACTGTCACGTTTGCCAAGTCTTTTCTCACACATATGAGTAGATAGTGTAGATGTTTTACATACTGGCTATTGCAAGAAAGCAGTTGAGGGCTGGCCGAGTGGCGTGATGGTTAAGAACTGGCTTGGGACGCCAGAGGGTCCTGGTTCAGATCCCACATATGAGGGCCAGTGACACTGCCCTCTACAGCTAAGATGCTGAACAACAGCTCAACCTGGAGCTGGGCTGCTGTGAGTTGCTGGTGACGGCGTGGGCTGCAGCCCCTGTGGCAGTGGGTTGCCATGGGCTACCGTGTGTAGCCAGCAGGCAGCGTGAGCGGCCAGCAGCCGCAGTGAGTGGCCGTCCAGAAGCCGGTGACTGATCTGCCTCACCAGGGAAGAGCGCAATGATGGTGCCAACTTGGGCCAGTGAAGCAACATCCTCCACAACTAGACTGAAGAACAAAAGGACAGCAACTTGTCTGTTCCCCTTCCCCCAATTCCCCAGCACTCTTCCTATCCCCCCAATTCCCCAATAAAAATCTTAAAAAAAAAAGAAAGCAATTGAAATAGAAAGAGAACAGGTGTTGCCACCAGATCTGGTTTCATCCTGTCTTGTCACTTCTTTGCTGTGTAACCTTAAAATCTTCTGGTATCTGTTTTCTTTTATGTGCCATGAGGATAACCTATCTGCTTAGTCTTGCCTTGGAAGTTTAAAGTCTCTAACAAGTGCCTTTTATGAGATCTAGCATATTTTACCTGCCCAATATCTGGATGCCATTATTGTGAGTTTTGGCGTGTTGGCTGGAGGGGTCCACAGTTAACATAACTTGGCAATGACAGAAGAAAAGATCTGTTAAAAGAATCACTAAGGGAATATTATTTATTTTAGAATGAAATCTCAAATGTTATATTGATTATACAAGGTGTGATCAACAAATACTGTGTATGTTTAAATAAAGTTTTATTACAGTAAAAGACACATTGCCATTAATCCCTCTCAAAATACTCCCCCTCGCTTTGAACACATTTATCCCACTGTTCTTGCACTTTCTGAAGCAGTTCTGGAAGTCCTCTTTCATGTCTTTAGTTGGCGCTATCGTGGCTGCCTCGATATCCTGAATCAGTTCAAAAACATTTTCTTTTCATAGTCATTTTGACTTTGGGGGAAGAGCCAGAAGTCTCACGGTGCCAGATTCAGTGAATAAGGTAGATGAGGACACACCGTCATGTTTTCATTTGACAGAAATTGCCATACCAGAAGCGATGTGTGACACAGAATTTCACGTTAATGCATTGTTCATGATCCATGATTTACAGCACACTTTAAAACACACCTTCTCTCAACCATAGCTCACACTCAACTTACTGCACCAGATAAGTTGAAACTTGTCACACAGTTACTAAGTTTCCACACACCACTTCCTGAATTGAAGGTCCCTGCCTTTCTGTTGGATGGTACGCAACAGCAGCATTTACCGTATTTTTTTATCATACGGCGTATATTGCAGTAACAACATTTTGGATATTTTAGGTTAGATAAACTATTAAATCTAATTTTACCTGTTTACTCTTTTACTTGTTTAATATGGCCACTGGAAAATTTGAAATTATTTATGCAGCTTTCGTTACTATTGATAGCATCTTGTAAATGACAGTGCCACTGCTTGAGCCACGTAGTTTCCAGCGAAGCAGGCTTGGACATGTACATGATTCACCATATATGTGAATGTCTCATAGAAGAGGAGAGTCAGAGCTTTTTGCCTTGTGAGTAATGCCCTATGTGTGTTGTAGCGATAGGACACCTTTTTAACAAAGTAAATAGTAGTGTGTTGAGGCAGGTGGCTGATACCTCCGCTTGATACTGGCCTCCATCAAGGAATGGATGCTGTAATGTTTGTAGCCTGAGGTTCCCATAGCCATACCCACAGCCTCAACTTTTTTGACAGAATTGCAGTGTTCTGCACAGATGCCCAGTGGGTTAACAGGCAGGTCAGCAGGAGCCCTGGGTCAGGAGGTTTTACCTTGGCTCTGAGGGGCCTCAGACAAATCACTATACCTGTGTGGTCCTTGGTCCTC